CCTGGCGCGGCCGCTCCGCCTGCAGGGACGGCGCCGCCAGCGCCGGGCGCCCGGGGCGACCCCCGCCAGCCAGGGCACTGGCCACGTGCTGGGCGCTGTGTGCGAGGAGCATCCGAGGTAGGTGTTCCCTGCGGCCCCCCCACGGGGTTCGCCCCCAGGTCTTCACAGGTGGGAGGGGCGTGCACCAGTGTCGGGGGCTGCCGGGACGGCCTTGCAGGGTGTTGTCACCCGGGAGCCCTGGCAACGACCCCGCCCCAATCAGGCCCCTGCCCTGAGCTAGGGGCTTGGGGGCTGGGCCTTCCCGGCGTGGGCCGGGGGTGTGACTTGTCAGACGTGGCCCCCTGGGGCCTGTGACTGCCACGGGGGTCTGCCCATGCCCCTGCTTTGGTGCGGGTCTCGTGCTGCCTGGACAGGAGAGCCTGGTCCCCCTCCCCAGGTCTTTGGTGAAGCCTAAGACACCTGTGTTTAGCAGCCCCGGGGAGCTCTGCAAGCTGCTACTGGGGTGGGGTGGGGTGGGGGATGTGCAGGGTCTCCCGCCCTGAAAGGTGCCCCCATGAACCCTCGGAGCCGGGCCAGAAGCGCCCCGAGTGCTGGAAGGGAGGGGGACGGAGGAGGGAGGAGGGAGGAGAGGAGGGAGGGGAGGGTGCCGGCGCTGGCGCCGTCAGCTGAGGCCAGGGAAGTAGCACCATATAAGGAGCGGAGCTCCGGAAACGAGATCCCCTCCGGGGGGAGGCCCCTTCCGCCTCGCTGGCAACGGGGTGGGGGAGGGGCGCCCTTTCTGGGTTCCCCCAATGCCAGAAGACAGGGGTGGGCCCGGGCCTCCTTGTTACCTGGGCGCCCGGAATCACACACCACATTACTGGCACTCACAGCGCGCCCACCTCAGACCCTGTTGCCAGTCACTCAGACACCGCACACTCATGCCCCCTACCCGCACGCACCCCCACGGGCACACTCATGCCCCCCACCCGCACGCACCCCCACGGGCACACTCATGCCCCCCACTCGGTCTTGCTCACACACCAGGGCACCAAGCCCCACACTCAGAGCCCCCCACGCGCTCTCCCCGCCCCCCACGCGCTCTCTTCTCCTCGGGAGCCCTCAGTCTCACCCCCTCCCAATCTGTCTCTCCTTTTCCCGTCTGGGCGTCCGCCCGGAGGGGGAATGTCTTTCTGGCAGCATCTCCCAGAAAAGTAGCTCTCCTGGCGGTTCTAATTAGAGGCGAGTGAGTGGGCCGAGGGGGGGAGGAGGGGCACACCCAGGAGGGGCCAGGCCAGGAGCTGCCAGAACAGGGTCTGGGAATCCCGCGGGCCGGCCTGGCAGGTGTTTCCCGGAGAGGAGCTGGTGGAGCTGCAGGCTGTGGTGTGTGTGCATGTGTGTGCATGTATATGCATGCGTGTCTGTATGAGTGTGTGTGTCTGCATGTGTGTGGATGCACATGTGTATGCTTGCTTTATGTATATGTTGTGCACATGCATCTATGTGCATGCATGTCTGTATGTGTGTCTTTGTGCATTTGTATGCATATGTGTGCATTCATGTGCTCACGTGTGTATGTGTTCATGTGTCCGTGTGCATGTGTGTGTGCACATTTATATGTGCATTGCAGTGTGTGTGCATGTTTGGGGGTGTGGTTGTGCATGTATGCGTGTGGTGTGCATGTGTATGAGGGCTTGTCAGTGAGCATGGAAGTCCTGATGGCCCCTTTCTTTGGGTCTGTCCGTGTGTGGGACCCAAGGGGATGTGTCAGGGAAGGCTGCCAGCTGCCGTGGGCCTGTGTGAGTGTGGTGTAAGCTGGCGCCCAGTGGACCCCTGCCCTGCCCTGGCCCGGCATGGCTTACACAGCCCCATCGTCCCTGAGGGCTGGACTCTAGGCCTCTTGCCTGCTGCCTCCAGCCCCTACCACACCCCACCCCCAGGCATGGAAACCTGGCAGGGTTTCCTGGAGCACAGACCCGGACCACTGCAGCCTGGCCCAGAGAGCACGTGCCCCCCGCGGGGGCCCCAGTCAGGGAGGGGCTGAGGCTTGAACCATATCTGTTGGTGATGGTCCTACCGTCCTCTGCTCGGGTGCTTCCTGCCCCCCACCCTCCACTAAAGTGCAGAACGAAGGTGGGCAGTCCAGAGGAGGGGCTGCCGGTCCCTGGGAGTCCCAGCTCAGGCAGCATCTGCTGGCAGGGCGCACACAGGGCTGCAGTGACAGGTGACAGCCGCAGCCTCAGTGCTCAGGAACACTTAATCGCCGCCCAATTATCGCCCCAGAGGCCTCAGCAAACCCCCGCACTGGAGCCTCAGGCCGCATTCTTCCGCCTCCTCCGGAAAGGGGCCAGGCCAGCTCTGCCAGCAGGCCGCCCGCCCTCTGTCCCCCACACCCCCGCCCCCCCGCTCCCCGACAAGCTGGGTGAAGGCAGTGCAGGCCCATCCTCTAGCCCCCAGCTCCACTCAGAGCAGCTGCACAGCCAGGCAGGTGGACAGGGGAATGGGGCAGGTGGAGAGGGAGGGCTGCTGGGCCGGGGCAAGGAGGCACGATTGCCTGGGCCCCAGGGTGCCCTGCGAGAGGGCTGGCAGACCAAGGTGGCCATGCGGGTCTGCCCAGAGTGCTCTGCCCCACCTAGCACTCCAGGCTCCCGGCCTCCAGGTGCTGAGGTTGTGAGGCTAAGATGCTGCTTGAAGATGAGGCCCCCCAGGTCCTGATCTCTGGGAGCCCTGCTCCCACCAACATGAGTCCTGGGTCTGGTCCAGCCCCTGGGGACGGAGCTTGCTTCCTCTTTGGCCGCACACGTCTGCTGCCCTTCGACAGCCTCCTATGCTCACTCCTGCCTCTGGTCGCCCCTCTGTGCCACTCTCAGCCCCCCACCTGCTTGGGCCCCCATGTGTCTGGGGATACTTCCTTGCTGCCCTCTGGAGCACATCCACGACCACCCCCTCCTCAGCCCTGCACTGACTCACACCAGTCTGCGCTCTCCAGACTTGGAGGTGTGTTCACCAGCCAGATCCCTCCTAGCCGAGCTGCTCCTCTCCTGGGGGGTTGGCAATTAGCACTATTTAGTGCCCCAGAGGGTCAGCACAGTCTTCTTCAGGGGGCAGAGCTCACACACACATGCCTACCAAACACACACACACAACTGCACGTGTTCATATGCAGTGCCCACTCAGATGCATGCATGCGCAGGCACACATACATGCATAGACACGTGTGCATCCACATGGACACGCTGATGCAAATAGGCATAGGCGCGTATGTGTGTGTGTATATACATGCCCACACGGGTGCACAGATCACACCCAATGCCCACACAAATGTACACATAATAGACATGCACACACAAGTGCACACATGTACACACACAGGTGCACAGGTGCACACCCAGTGCCCACACAGATGCATGCATATATGGTCATGCACACACAGGTGCACAGATGCATACCCAGTGCCCACGTGGATGCATGCATAACAGACATTCACATGTGGGTGCACACATGTACATAAACATGGGTGCACAGATGCACGCCCAGTGCCCACATGGATGCATGCATAATAGACATGCACACATGGGTGCACATGCACACACAAGTGCACAGATGCACACCCAGTGCCCATGCAGATGCATGCATGATAAACAAGCACACACAAGTGCATAGATGCACACCTAGTGCCCACCCAGATGCATGCATACATGGTCATGCACACAGAGGTGCACAGATGCACACCCAGTGCCCACGTGGATGCATGCATAATAGACATTCACATGTGTGTGCAGACATGTACATAAACATGGGTGCACAGATGCACACCCAGTGCCCACACAGATGCATGCATAATAGACATGCACACATGGGTGCACATGCACACACAAGTGCACAGATGCACACCAGTGCCCACACAGATGCATGCATAATAGACATGCACACACGGGTGCACATGCACACACAAGTGCACAGATGCACACCAGTGCCCATGCAGATGCATGCATAATAGACATGCACACACAGGTGCACAGATGCATACCCAGTGCCCACGTGGATACATGCATAATAGACATTCACATGTGGGTGCACACATGTACATAAACATGGGTGCACAGGTGCACGCCCAGTGCCCACATGGATGCATGCATAATAGACATGCACACATGGGTGCACATGCACACACAAGTGCACAGATGCACACCCAGTGCCCGTGCAGATGCATGCATGATAGACAAGCACACACAAGTGCATAGATGCACACCTAGTGCCCACACAGATGCATGCATATATGGTCATGCACACACAGGTGCACAGATGCACACCCAGTGCCCACGTGGATGCATGCATAATAGACATTCACATGTGGGTGCACACATGTACATAAACATGGGTGCACAGATGGACACCCAGTGCCACACAGATGCATGCATAATAGACATGCACACACGGGTGCACATGCACACACAAGTGCACAGATGCACACCCAGTGCCCACACAGATGCATGCATATATGGTCATGCACACACAGGTGCACATGTGTACACACAGGTGCATACATGCACACCCAATGCCCATGTGGATGCATGCA